TGGCACGATGGTGGTCTGAGTCTGGCCCCATGACGCTGAGTGGAGTGGAAAGATCAACCTTGGACTCGGCACCTAAGGCCTGAGAGGGCTGCTGGTTCAGCTGACAGTATCAGCATCAGGTAAGTATTTATAGGAAAGGAGGCATGTTAGGGAGAACGAAACGGGGTCTTAAGGATAAAACTGATTTTATCCACCTAGAAAAGGAAAAAGTGAAAGAAATATGCTAGCTTAGAACCAAGTATCTGAGAAAGAGAGAAGAAAAAGTGTGGAAGCTCCTGGTCAAGCCACTGGGACAAAGACTAGAGATTTGTCCTTGAGGGGAAACTATTACTCTAGGTTAAAAATGGCCCATAATGTCATCTCCCCAGCTCCAGAATTTAACAGTTTGACAGAAAAGCTCCAAAGAATGAAGTTTGCACTGTCTGCATTGGCACTGTCCAATAGAACTTTCTGTGGTGGTGGACATGTTCTGTACCTGTGCTCCCCAATCCCACGGGCACTTGCCCCACGTGGCTATGGAGCCCTGAAATGCGGCTAGTGCCACCAACAAACTGAATTTTAAATTTATCTTTCACTTAACTTCGAATTTTACTAGCATCACCAGGCTAGTGGCTGCCACATCAGGACAGTATAGATCTTGTACACCTACTCATGTTTCTCTGAGAATGGAACAGAGGTGGAAACCATACACTGGCTGCACTAATCCCGCAAGGGCTGGACAAGGTGCAGAAGGGCCTTCAATCAAGGGCATGCATGCAGGGTGCCAAGCCTTGCCAAGATGCAAAGAGCAGCTAGAAATGGCTATTGTATTTAAATAGTTGTTGGGGACAATCTTTTCTTTCACTGGATAAACAGATCTCATGTAATTTTTGTTAGCGCAGCACAGAATCATTCTGTGGGGTCTCCTACAGCATAAACTTACCTGTGTGTGTTTTTCTTACGGAGCTACAGTAACTGGCTATGGCACGCAAGGCACACTATACACTCAGTAAACACTTAAAGGCACAGCAGGCAAAGAGAGCTTGTGGAGGACGAGGGCTGAGGCGTGTTAGCACTGGTTATAGGTTACAGAGCAAAACTTCCTCAAAGCATCTTGCTCCACAAGATGTTCCTAGGTACTATATATTCTTCAAATCTCTTTGGGAAATTACTGGTTTTTAACAACGATCAGTCTGTTTCTTTATCATGAGAATTCTCAGAACTTTTACTGTGTGGGCCCTGATTTACAGGAATGGCTTATATTCTGTAGAACACAGCGGGAAAAGGCAGACTTCCATGCCATCTCCAGGACAGGGGTAGCAACAGAAGGTTGACATCTTGTGTATCTGAGATTTTCTAAATCTGTCTGATTAAGAATTTGGGGAGTTTATTCAAGAGAGTAGTTTAAAGGCATGAAACTGCAACAATTTTGGGTGCGTACCACCTGGTTTGGAAGGGCAGAGGGAGCTGCATGAGAAGGTGGCTTGCCAGAGGAAACCACTCTTGTCGCCCCCTGTATTTCAGACATCCCTTAGGAAAGTCTAGGCTGTGCCTAAGAGCTCAATCAGGACAGATAATCTCACACTTGCCCCTTCAAGAAATAAAGTTCCTTCAACCAGGAAACAAATGGAGGTGAACAGTAACATTATTAGGTTAAGGAATTAAAAAGTATTTTTTCTGTATAAAAAAACAAACAAAACCTACAAAAATGATTCCGTTTCAAGATGGTGCTATGGACTGAACTGTGTCTCCTCAATCCTAATTCCCAGGGCCTCAGAGTGTGACAATAATTGGAGGCAGGGCCTTGAAAGAGGTAAAATCAGGTCACATGAATGAGCCGTTATCCAATACAACTGGTGTCCCTTTAGGAAGAGATTAGGACATGGACACATGAACAGCAAAGCCTCTGTGAGGACCCAGCAAAGATGGCCGCCTACACGCCAAGATCCAGGAGAGGGTCAGGAGACATGGACCCTGCTGACAACTCAGTCATGGACTTCTAGCCCCCAGGATCTTGCAAACATACACTTCTGTTGCCTAAGCCCCTTAGTCTGTGGTATTTTTGTTATGGCAGCCTTAACAAACTAAGAGTAATGGCTAGTATGAGAAACCTGAACTCAAAATTTCACATGCAGCTTTAAATACACTGCTGCTTCTTACATAAGACTGCACTGTGTTATTAGAACTGTTTAAATTGGATTGTCTAATAAGGTAATTTGCTAGCTTGACTTTATAAGGTTAATTATCTTTCTCAAACTGACCATCAGAATGTCACATTTCTAACACTAATACATTTTTTTTCTTTTTTTAACAACTGAATACCATTTGTTGAGCACAAATAGTTTCAAGAAGTGTTCTATATTGTATCTCAATTCTGACAGAATTTATCAGATTTTTAATATAAATAACATTTTAATTTAATTAAAACAAATATACTCCATTAATTTAGAAAATTAACACTATTCAGAAAGGAATATGAAAGTGATTTAAAATTTTGAAGTTTTGCTAATATACTTTCAAACACTGATACCCTACAGAGATTTTTTTTGTTATTTTAAGATAAACTGATCTTTTCCTTTTGTTTCTAAAAGCATTATCTTTCTTTTTTTACAGTTATCTACATTATTAAATATATTCTTTTAAGTTATTTACTATAGGAGTCAGGAAGCTTTATAACTAACCTATCATGAAATGGCATTTGCGTCACTTAATATATTAGCCTATAATAGAAAATTCTAAGTTGGTTCTGATAAACTTTAATGAGGTCTAAGAATATACATCTAAAAAAACCACTAAGTCCACTTTCAACAAATGAATCTTAAAAATTTTCATCAAACATGTACTGTCTTGAACTTTCTCCAACATAAATACACTAGAGCTTTACTGAAGCTAATACAGACTGCTTTATAAAAGGAGACAGTTTTCTGAAATAGCATCAAAGACTACCATATGGTTTAGAGAAGTTTCTTAGAAAGAGGAATCTACCACAGAAAACAGTTTAAATATTTAATAATTATGAAAGGAACTGTCCTACACAAAAAAATTACATCTATTCAAGGCCCCAAGAGGGCAACCATTTTTCAGTTATAGTTAACTTGATGACTTCTCCATGGGAAGATTTTTACATGTTTAGTTAGCCACACACACAAAAATACAACTAAACATCCTGCCCCTCTGGAGGAGAAAGGTATAGATGAATGCTTTACTTCAATGTTGGAGTTAACAAAATATTTCATTTTTTAGATTTATCCTTCCTACTTTTTCCACTTTTGAAACTATTTGTTTACTATACTCAGAAAACTGTCTTTAATCTAACAGGATAATTTTGGAAATAAAATTAATTCTCAAAACTTTATCTTTGGCCTAAAAGCACACTAATTTAATTATGAATGAAATATGACCAAAAATCAATTTCATCATATTCTCTTTAAAATAATTTCTTAGAATTCTTTGATCCTGCTACTTAGGAAATACCTAAAGTAAAATACATGAAAAGCAAAAGTAAAATGTAACATCAAGATCTTAATAAATCAACTAAAGAGATATTCGTTGTAGAATTCCAAATTTTGTTTCTCATCACATTCAATAACAGATAAAAATTTTAATTCATGTTTTGGGAATAACAGATATATGTTATAGAACTCAGAAAAGCACTAATAAATGTTTACAATAAGTGAAAGCTATAAAGAAAGGATTTGTACTTACCTGGTAGATTAGTAACTAGCTGACCTCTAATAAAATCATCTACTTCTTCTGGTTTTAAGTGGTACTGGCCATCTGGTTTTGCTTTTCTAGTTGCCATTCTAGCCAGAAGAATATTAGAACCTATAAAGTTAAAAAAAAATGTTGAAGAAATATGTACAATTATTTTCTAAATTTTGTAACAAAGCCATCTACAAATAGGTTACCTATCAAATTTCTTTCTTTCTAAAAACAATGAAAATAAATAACTTTCAATTTGGATCATTTCAAATACAGTACAAAACTGGCAGAATGTTAAGTATTACAGATTATAATGAACATGGTTATTGTACAGAGGTTTCTTTGTCCCAAAATAAGTGACCTTTCGATTTCTCTTGCCTAACAGCTCTAATCATAAAATTGGAGGCTTACAGGACTTGAGAGCAATGATCAGAAATCAGCTCCTTTTACAATTCACTGGATCTAGGCTAAGTGGGAAAAAGGCAAAGGATGCTACTGGGCTGGGGTAAAAAGAAAGCCCAAAGGACCAGAAGCCTTGCTAGGCTATCAGCACAGGTGCAGAACACTGAGCATATGGGAGCCTGAGAACAAAGACAGATGCTGGCGTGAGACCTTGGGGTGAGCACGGACATGCCTCTGCAGAGCAGGGGAAAAGTTCACTAGGATCTGTGGGACTGGAATGTCAGGAGACCTTTATGTAAACTAGGAACTCCAGAAATTGTAAGGAGTTGTATAAAGGACACATGTCCTTTTTATTTAAGACATATAGAAACTATGCATTTTCCTAGGGTAAATATATAGATATTTAGGGAGAGAAAAAAATTCTGGAAAGTCACACCAAAATAATACAAGTAGTAAATTTTGGAGAAGACCAAGGCGCTAAGGAGTGGAAATACCACATGGGGTTGTCGTTTCAATTATGTGCCTGAACTTAGAAGAATGCAGTCCTATTGTACAGTTGCAAATTACAAACAAGTACAATTAAGAAAAAACTAAACCTGTGCCTGATACTGGAACCCAGAAGACAAGTCCTAAATGGATGTGGAGAAGGATCTGCAAGCCAAATACCAGGGAGTAAAAGGCAGGCTAGCTAGTAACTGGAGGGATTCTATGAATGTATTAGTCATGTATTTTATTTTCTGTATCTTGTGATGTTTTGACATCTTAAAAATCTTCCTGGCTGGAGAGAGACTGCACTCCCAGCTATTTGCTGAAGGCAGAAAACAACCTTCCTGGGAGCAAGCCAGCCACCCCCGGCCATCTATCTCCCTATCAGACTCACACGCAAAGCCAGGATTTCTCCTGCTCTGAATCATGCCAGGGCTAGATACCAGGAGACTAGAGGTTACCCTTACAGCCCTCAGGCCATGGGAATTATCCAAACTAGTCAATCCTACACTGTCTACTTGGCCCAGCCCTTCCTGCAGAAACTCCAATGAAGCTCTGGCCTAGGATTTCCCTTTACTCCTGCTTCTGCCTCCCAGCCAAAACCTGGTGCCTCCCCATGTGGCCCTGTGTGGTGTGGTATATCCCCTACTTCTCTGGGTTAATATAAATAAAAATCTTGTTTCAAAAGTACTGGCCTGTGTTGTCACACAGGTATCTCCATAAGTGGAAATCCCAAGGGTAGAGATCAGACAAGCTATTTCATAGGAAGAAAGGCTTTGAATGAGAAGAGAGGAGTCCTGCGTGACAGCGATGGTAAGCTAAAAGAAAAGTTTTCTCTGCCTCCCAAGCCTGTGGAATAGTGTGTGGCAGGGACAAGTTGGGTCCCCCTGTGAGAATGGCAAGATAGGAGGTGTCCTGGCAAGAGGTCCTGAAAGGAAGGAGGGGACCCAGGGAAGCTTAGGTGCAACAGAAACGGTTCCATCAGGCACAGCTGGAAGAGTCAAAGGCAGAGAGAGGATGGGAGGACCTGCACAGACAAAGTGCAGGGCTCACAGGCAGAACAGACAGTTGGGAAGGACAGGTGGAGGGCATGTGCAAGAGAGGATGCCTTCTGTAGTTGAGAGTGTGAAGGCTGGACTGCTGAGCATTCCCAGAAGCCAAAACTCAGAGTAACTGAATTACAAGACTTCTACTTCAGCACACTTGACTCCCAATGCCCCCCACCACATTGCTTTAAATGGTTTCTGTTCATTTTAAAAGAAAAAAAAAAGCTTACAAGTACTGACTCTCCATTCTCCCCATTTTGAAGAACAGGTTAAGAAATATTTCAAGTTGCTTATTCCAAAGATATTACCAATAATATTCTTGGATTTCCAACACTTTTTATCTCATGTATTGTACAATTGTGAGCAATACTAAGAATTGTTTTAGAAGTGAGAGGACTATGCAGTAAGGTAATATAATAAAAACAAAATCTGAAAATCACTACTAAAAATTAAGTGATACTCACTGATTGCAAAACAATGCTTTGTGTAAAATGAACAGTATGAGGCAAGCTAGGTACTAACCAATTCCAACAGAGGCAGCACACTTAGTCTGATCTTTGATTTCCATACGGACAGCATTTGCAAATTCATCAGGAGTAAGTCTTGTCTCTGCAAGGATTTCAGTAATGTCCACAAGTGCTTCATCACAACTGACAGCTTCAATGTTATGTGTATAGCTGTCAACACAAAGCAGAGGCAATGAGCCACAGCCACAACCTGCCATCTAGCAGACCAAGTGCTGCTGAATCCAGTCTTCCTATGGCATATTTATTTCCCAATTTCTTACAAGACTTAACATGCTAAGAAATATCAGCATTTTAATTAAACTGACCCAAGTGCCATTATTAGTAGTCACCTAACACTGAACCAAAGGCAACTAGTGCTTTCTCTTTTTCCATATTAGCTACAAAAAACACAGCAGAAATTATTCTAGTTTTTCTATACTGAGAGAATACCTTCGCGTAAACCTCTCACTAGCTGAGAAGTAGTTAACAGAATTAGAACTGTCAAAATTAAAAATTTTCAAACATGGTTTACTGGAATTCTTAAGGAATAGAAAATCACAAAAATAAGTCAAATAAGATCACCTAAACAAAAACCCCACAAATAAACAGCATTCACGTGGCGGGCCTGAGGCATCTGATGCTGACTAGAGGGACACCAACGACATCCCTGCAGGCAGAAATACTCGGTTTTTTTAGTCATGATCTGCCTGCATGAAGGACTTTAGTTGGCCAGAGAAGAGGAAAGGGAAGGGAAGAGTTGCCATGTGGCTCCAATGCTAATTAAATATGAGGCTCACGTATGGGAGGCAACCAGAACAGCCTCAGGAACAACAAATGGATGCTCCCTAATCCACCTGGGGGAGTGTACTGGGATGGCCAGGCCTCATCTCTTACCTACACCTTGCTGTAAATCAGATTAACTAGTATCTCTATTCACTTAAGAAATGAGTGCTTTGTTTACACTTTAAAGGGTGAGATGTGTAAGAGCAGGAAGGTACACCTGATAGGAGGGACTCTGCTTCAGACTGAAGGCACCCTGAGGCAGGGAGAATTCCCAAAGGGTGGCAGGAGATTAACACTGAGTTTCCGCTCCCCACCCCAAAATAGCCAAATGTCGCTGGAAATGTCTCCAAGAAGAAAACTCCCTCAGGATGAGTATGTGTCATGCTCTCCCTGAAATCCTCCCAATTCAAGGGTCTTGTTGCCCAGAATACCCAATACTGCTAATTGAACTCAATCACCTGTTTCTGGCCCTACCTGGATGCTAACTGATCTCAATTTTGAACAGGATCTAAAAGCATACTTGCCACTTCGTAAGCACAACATCCCCGTATCTGGGGTCCTAAGGACAGTTGTGATTAACTGGCTTATCACTCAGCACTCCATCCTACACACTGATGCCAGGTAACTTCCTCAGCCCCTTTTTAATCTCTTCTGCTGAAGTTAACAGCTGGATCTTACTTCTCTCTGTAGGACTGGAAGCATCAACAGCTGCTTGTACTTGATACTCAGTAAGTAGGTATTCAGAATATGCATAAGAAAGTAGAAGAAGAGGTAAAGACAGAGGCACAGTGTCTCTCTAAGAACCTCAATTAAGCCCAAGGGCTGACAACCCTTGGCCTGCTGTCCTGATGCCTGTCTTGGTAAAAAAAACAAAAACAAAAACAAAACAAAGACGTAAAACACAGCCCCACCCGTTCACTAATATATTGTCTGTGCCTGCTTTCACTTTACACAGCAGAGCTGAGTAGCTGGAAAGAAACCTTATCTGGCCCTTGGTAGAGAAAATACACTGACTCCTTCATTAGAGCATACATGGCCAGCAAAACTTACTTTAAATTTTGAGGTGTGAACATAAAATATACTTACATTATATTTTTTAAATGATCTCCTTTCCTTAAGGCAACTAATCAATCACATTGAAACTATTACTAAAACTAACTTATAAAAACTTTTGGCATGCCTAAGGATATTAGAAGATAAAGGATCTTAAAGAGTCTCTACTGTTATAAACAAAACTCTAATTTAAATGTAATAAAAGAATAACCAGGTTAAAAATTGCATCCTTCATCTGTCTGGTTCCATGGGAAGAAAACTAGAACAACTGACTTGCAGTCATATAGGCAGAATCAGATCGCCATCACCATCAGGAGGCACCTCTATAACCTGAGCAGTGCAAAAATGTCCCTTCGCATGAGCTACTGATGACTGGAGTCACCTAGATGAAGGAGAGAAGACAGTCACACTGGGACGCTGAGGAAAGGGCTCCTGAGAGAGAAAAGTCTAGCAAAAGTGACACTGACAGCTCTAAGGAAAACTGGGCTGTCTTTAATGTTAGAGAAGAAAAGCAGAGTAACACGGATATGACAGTGACTATATCATATACGTTACCTTGCCAATGTCTCATACATTGTGCGTGCAACTTCCTTATATGCATGAAAATCATATGGGACAGCTTGAAGATTAGGACAAAGTTGTTTAGCGTGCCCAAAAAACATTCCATTCTTAATGCCAAGTTGTCTAGAGAAAGAGTAAAACACAACAGAGGTCATGCTGGGAATTTTTAAGTGCCAAATCAAGTATCAAATATGTTGATAGTATCTTCCCATGCCATTAAATACACAGTTTTCATCTAACTCCATTCTCATTAGGGGTAAAAAATAGGCATTAAGAAAACTGACAGGCTTGCTTTCCCCAAAAACAAATTATACAATTCTCTGATTAGTGTAAAGGACATGTGTAGATGTGCCAAAATATGTTTGTAAAAGACCAGGTTTGATTCTCATCTGTATCTGATGATTTCCTTTAAAATACTCAGACCTCTGGCCCCTCTGCCACAATGCCAGCATGCCATATGCTAGTGATATCACAACCACCACAGAGCAGGAATGTGCTGTCAATAAGAGGTTTTCTTCCCCTAATACATGGCACACTTTGGCCAGGGTTCACCCCCAAAGACAAAGAAGAGAAATAAAAATAACTACACAAAATAGTGCTATGTGACAGACAAAATATACTCATCCTATTACCACCCAATTCCCAAATGACCAATTGCATGCTCCTGAGGTGGCTCCGCAGTGGCTGAGATGCCAACAGCATTGTAAATGGTAGGACATCACTCTGGGCAGGGACCAAGGTTCCAGAACTTTGAGGGACCTAATTGAAAATGGTGAATTTTAAATCTTTTGTGAGCCTCAATGCCCCACATTACCTTTGATATTTGGAGCATTTAGCACAAAACTATAAATATGGAATTACACATAATTAATAATTAATATCCCATTTTAACATTCTGCAATGAATCAACAAAAAATATTAAAGTAAAAACAGAGCAAAATAATAGCAATGCTTTACCAGATTACATACCCCTGTGCAAATACATCAGGAGATCATTCTACAGTCATTCAATAAGTATTACTAAGTGCTCACTTTGTATGGAGGTGTGCCATTTTAAGAAACATCGACACAAAAGTCTTCAATTACTCATGATCTCTGGCACCCTCCTCATCTAAGACCAACCAGTGAGAACCAAACAGGAAAAGAATCCTCCCAAGTTATTCAGAGGTAAATGCAAAATCATATGCATTTCTTACATACACAAAACAATAATAAATTATCTAACTGCAAAGCCCTAGTAGATGAGAAATATCTAATAGGAAGGAGAAATGATAGAAAAGAAAGTAATGACTGATGAATAGCATAATAAAGCATGAAAAAAAATGAATGAAAAAATTCTTCATTCATTCAACTGAAATTTGTGTCTCAGGCATTTTGCAAGATGGAGAATAAAATCGTGAATAAAACAGTCCTCAGGATGTTCATGAGGATGACCCTGTACTTGGTCAGCAAAAAGAAAGATGGATTATAGACAATGGGCTTTGTTTAGTAAGGCAGGGAAGTATACATATATAATAGCTTAAACATCTAGTTAGAAATACATAAATAGTTTAAAGCATATTCAGTAATGCTAGATATATAGGTTCAGCATATAAAAGCTGAACTTGGAAATTAAAGGTAATTATTAATTTTTAAAGGAATGTGTTAGTTAACTAATTCCTGCAACTATCATACTCTTATATTTATAATAATTTTGTTTTCAAATTATTCAGTCATACTGAAATTTTCAAGGGCATACTAATTATAAAAATATACATCTATTTATGTATGCATGCACATATACATCCCAGAGAGAAATGTTTAGGAGCCACCAGACACTGTAAGGAAGTTACAACCAATTAAAAGACCAAACCCCCACTGCTGTGGGTTTTGTGGGGCTTTTTTCCAACTTATACTCAAATTCATTTTCACCATTTTAAGAATCTCCTTCAAATAAACATTTACCACTTAAGTGTCATTTCAGTGGCTTGCTACATAGTATTTGGTCCTCACATATTGGCACCCTGATTATCCTGTAATACACTTAGCTTGACAACTGCCATTTGTGATACAATGTAAATGCACAATCCAAAGACACCTAGAGCCTAGACACAGCTGTGGCTACCAGAGTCCAAACCGACTGTGAGCTGCTGAGGCTTCTGCCTCTGATTCAGCCTTGGCACTCCCCATCCAGCATTCAGCTTAGGGACACTAATGAGAAGAGACCCTGCAGAGGCAGCATGGAAAGGGTGGAGCTTTCATTTCACCAAGTAGCAAAATTCAAAGACTAAGTATTTCTGGGCTTCATCACACCCTCCCGTTGGAACACAATGGTCCAGCCATCAGAAGCACAAGTTACCATGCAGTAACTTAGAGGGGAGAAAAAGACTAGCCTATCCCAGTGACAGGCTAAAACAACATACAAACCAGCTCTAAACTGCCTGTGCTAATAAAAATGTAGTATTCCAGAATACACTTATATTTGACTTAATTCTTTTTTATTTTTCATTAAAGTAAGTTTCAACTCCTTGGCTACATTACCAACTAACACTGAAGAAGAGTAAAACATAATTCTGTTAATGAGAAGGCAAAATTAGGCTGGGAGTAAAAATCTGACATGTCATAAAGAGATAATGATTTGAAATATTTTATAATCATGCATGTTTAAATATAATGTGTTTTTCTTAAATATCCTTTTTATAAAAATATTGGTAAGATTTCAATCTTTCTGGCTACATATTGAGTTGTCAGATTAGACTTGCTTGAATAATCCAAACATTTAATCAAAACTGAAAAATGTTACATATATTTAAATCAGTACGTTGTATAGCTGAAATTAATGTTTCTTATACACAATAAAAAAGGATGAATGACAAAGCCATAAATATACTATCTAACCTCTCTCTCAAAAAAAGATTGAAAAATGTTATGATACAAGCCTGTTTTTATAATTATTAAAAACTTCAATACCTGCCAACAATGTATAAATACTTGCTGTGCTAACAAAGTACAGACTGCTTTTTTTAATTTATCAATTCATTTTTACTCCCTCTACTTTTACAACTATCATAATCGATTACTTTTAAATGACTGATCTTTTTTTAAGTGTAAGTAACAATACATATATCTGTTCTTGTACTGAAACAGCAGGCTGTAATTAGGGTTTAAGGTTACTGCAAGATAATGGTCTACATACAAAGTTGGTGCTAACAAGTTGACACTATTCCTCAATTTTAAGTGAGATTATTAGGTATGCCAGTATGGAATTATTTACTTGTAATTTACTAGGCAACCAAGTTTTAAAAGAATTTTAAAAAAACATTGAGTGTTAGGAAGTTTATAAGGAATTTTTCTTAGTTGTAAAAAGGAATTACTTAGAGCAAACATTAAGACCTTCTCCACTCAAAAATAATCTAAGTCTTTAATTCCATACTTCAAAAGACATGGTTTAAAAATGACAACACCTGGCTTCTTTTGATTTCCACTGTAGGACCTACTGTTTTTATCAAAAAACTAAGGTACTTATGTAAATTTATTTACCATTTTTAAAGGAAAACAAAAAGGGACTGAAGGGATTAAGGCTAGAAAAATTTATTTCACAACATACGTGTCTGCAACATATTGAAACCATTGGCCTAAGTAGTATGTCTGAATCCACTTCAAAAGACTGTATGAAAATAATCAAGTAAATTAACTATTCTTAAGTATTACACTTAATTTCTACATACCTGGCTTCATAACTACAAGATGCAATCTCAGCCTTTGACAAAACAGAATCAATTCCATTTGTTTGTACAGAATCTGGATTCTCCCACATTGATGAATCCGGTATATCTGCTTTAAAAATAATAAAATTTAATGATTATATGTTATAAACTGATTTTTCTTAATTTTCACTCAAGAAACATATTTTCCGTTCCTTTTATATACAAATGCTTCACAAATTCCAAATAGTTTTCTCCTTTGAAATTTACCTCCTAATTTAATAAAAGAAAATCTATGACTCTAAAATTGTTTACTTCCATTACATTCTTCACCATCAGGAAAAAAACCCAATAAATTGACAAAGTGTTCTTTTCTAATAAGATTTTTTTTTAATATATAAAAAGATAAATATAAAATGTCCCTCCCTTTAACAGTCTCTTGAGATGAAAAAGGATGAAAATGATCAGGTAGATGACCCCCTTCTGTAGCCCTACAAGGATTACATAGCTCTTAATAAAAAATATAAATTTCTCTGAATGTTCTTCGCTGTTTCCTAAAAGATCTATCTGTAAAATGTAAAGCTAATTAAGTAACATGTTCAACAAACATAACTTCCCCCAAGACATTCGATCAAACAATAATTTAGTAAGTCACATACATAAAGAAGTTTCATTACAAATATAAGTTCTTTCTTTCAAACATCTATCAGGAAAAAGAGCTTCACAACATTACCTCCCTTCTTAAGAAAATTCTACTTTTGGTTTAATGATGCACATTCAATTAAAAACATTCAGGTGTGATCCAAATACCAATTGCTCTAGCCTAAACAGAACAGCTCGCCCATCTCTCAGTAGCCAAATCTAATTTACAGCTTCACACAAAATACAGAGTGCAGAGTCAAAAGAGCCTAGTGACTGCTTGCTACTTTACCTCTTTACCACCATTAGCATCACTAGTAATTGAGAAATAGATTAAAGTACAACTTCATAGGCCTCTTGGGATAGCTACTATTAAGTTCCAGGGAGAATATGCCTTAAAAACATATAGTCCAAAAACACAATCTCAGCCACTGTTCTTTATGAACAAAAATGCATGTGGCCAAATGTCTGGTTTTACACTTTAGGGCTAAAACAACTCCTGATTTCACTGCAGTAACTATCAGCATCTTTACCCAACAATGCAACCCACACAAACATCTCAGGGTTCCAGCACCCATACATGCAAAGCATAAATGCAAATCAAACTCTGAGGATTGGCCTCTTCATGGGGTCAAATCCCACTCATATCAAAACTAAGAACAGCAGAGTATATATACTTTGAGCTATTGACTTCTGATCTAACAAACAAGTTATACTCTGAAAAGTTGAAGACAGAATGCAGAGCAGACTACCCAGTGTTTCTGAAGGGTCACAGAGGCCACATCTTAGTTTAGTAGTCCATTATTCTAAGCTGAAAATCTATAAGTTTCAAGATTGACAGTATCACAGATCAACAGAGGCTACTTCTAAACCACCACCCCTCAAAAAAAAAAAAAAGAAAAGAAAAAATAAAGAGTAGAAGCTTGAAAAGCCATAACCAGCTGCCTTTCAAAGGTGTAACCATGAGTTATGTGTTTAAAGTTGGGGAATTATGTGAGTTATATTTGAAGGGCTAGTTAAATAATCTAAGTCACTTGTCTTAAAAATTACAGGAAACCATGCTTGAGGTGGGAACGGTGTCTGGGTCCCTGCGCTCCCAATGCCCTGCCTGAGAGGTGGCTCTTCCCTGGGCCAGCTGACCTTTTCCATAGTGCAGCAGAGTGCGTGGGTCCCTCCACGAGCGAGTGAGTTGCTTCGAGGGAGAGCCAGGGAAATGCAGGGACACACTGTCCTCACTGGAGGGCAAAGTAGAGAACTGCTCAGCGAAACTTGACAAACTAGACGGGCACATGGAGAATGTGGAGGAACGGTTGGAGAAATCAGAGGCCAGGACCCAAGTCTGTGAAAAAGAAATCGCTGAGAATAAATCTATGGCTAATATGATTCTAAAAACTGTTGTTCTTTAGAATGAACACTGAGGTTGTTGAAGGGATAGGGAACATCCACATCCTGGAATCCAGGAAGTGATAAAAGGCCCCAACAATAAAATCTTGAATATTTGATGGATTGCCAATAATGAGACCATCAGTGACAAACGTCACTGCTTAGCCCTGCTCAGGAAGCAGCTTCCAGAGGAAGTTGTGGATAGAGAGCCCCTGCTTATGCTGGTCTGATTAGACAGAGAGTCTCCAAGTATGACAAGTAAGAGCCCAAAGTCTCCATAAGGGGTAAAGATGCTGTTTGTTCTGACACTTTGCCTAGACAGACAAGCCAAAACATCAGCCAAAGGTTCTAATTCCGAAATTGACCCTCAATATTTTATAATTTAGTGTCATATCTAATAAGGACTCAGAGAAAGAAAGATCAGGGACAGTAACAAGAGAAGAACAAAGGCCCTGAAAAAAACAAGTTTTAAGTACAAGTTTAGTTACAACCAAAACTTCGTAATAAAGGACAATTTATTCACTTTATACACAGCAAATATTTGGTAAGTTCCCAATGAGTCAAAGGCTTAAGACATAAAAGTGAAAGACAAGTTAAAGAAAGGATGTAAAAGATGCAGTGTTGTATTCAGCTTTTCTAGTGACAGGAAAATCTATTTTTGGAAGCTTTCAATGGCAAGTGAAATTTCAGTATTTCATTTACTTTCAGGTTTAACACACACATGTAGAACAAAGGAGATGTGACTTATAAAAGGTCATTGCAATGTTAGAAAATCCAGTGGTTAAACTGATGAAGACAATTAGGTAACCAATGACAGTATTCTGTTAAAATAAAACTCATCATGGTTAGAGCTTTTGTGATGGAAGGAAAGAGTAAGACTAGCTAGCTCTCTGCTACTCCCAAGGAACGTGTACCTACCAAGAACAAAGCTCTAGATATTGCCTGCTGACATGAGATGCGTGGCAAACACAAGATCCCACCCACTGGAGAAACTTGGAGCCCTGAGCAACTGGGAGATGTCATTGAACGGTGTGCACTTGGTAAAAATACCAATTCCTTCTCTCCATGTTTGGTTAGTTTTTACGGAGTGTCTAGTATGTGTCAAGTATTGTGCATTTCCTTCAGTTACTTATTTGCTAGAACTTAAGATTTCCATCTTTTTAGTAACACCACACACAGAAAACACAGAAAGAAAAACCAACCTACCATAAGGCCACACTACCAGTACTTAGGGGACTGCCCATGCTGTCAGACACCGCAGCTCCTCAGACTCAACAGACTCATCATAAGCTGCCACGGTTTACTCACGACACACACAACACTAAAACCTCAAACTCTCTTACAAGATTTAAAGACCAAGAAAAGCTTTGGGAAACCTGGAAAATACAGGTACAAGTGAAGCATAAAGACATATCTGCAATTATTTTCTTTTGTACTCATACCCTATAAAACAGATGATCACAACCAACAAAAAGACTGTAGACAAAAAGGTCCTCAGATACGTCCACTGGCTTTCCTTTTGCCTTAAATTTACTGAGATCATTTCTAAAATAAGCCCAAGGTTGCATGACTAAAAACTAGATACCTGAAATCACTGGCATGCCTTCCACTCCACTAGCTCTCTAATTTCTGACTACTTCTCTGAAAAATTAAAAAAATTTTTGTCTTTGTATAGTCATCCATCGGGGAAGTGATAAATGACAAAGAATTTTAATCTCTAAGGAAATATTTCTCAGGGAATTTACTCGGGGCGGGGGATGAGATACACGAAAATCTTAGTATTTGTACTGTGATCACTATAATTTATGATTTTTTAAATCAATAGCCAAAATATTTAAAAGCTAAAGAGGCAAGAAAATGTTTTTCTCATATGAAACAGATTCAACAAAATAAGGGAAGAGACTGCTGGTATTTATCTTCTTAAGCCTTACTGTTTCTTATTCCGCTGCCTCATACAAATCATCAGCATGAGCCCAGGGGCCAAACAACTAGTAGTTACCTCCTGAGTCTAGAGGTTTCCACAAATGACGTTCATGATTGTCATTCCCAATCTATATTTACACAAAGTGAATTAATCACACCTTATAAAAAACATTCTTCACTTTGACCCAGGAAAATACCATCCAATTCAACAGAGCATAACTATAAACCAGTCATTTGCATTATTCAGATTTTACTTTAAGATGTCACTGACTTCCTTAAATCCCTTGAATGAAAAAGCTAATTATTTCAACTCTTTCATTTCTAGAACACCACCAAGAGCAAAATCCAGAAGTCTTCAATAGGAGCTCAATGACTTCAAAGAGAGCTCATTATTTGTACCTGCTTTGCCTTTCAGGATTTTATTCTGGTAATACTGCCACTCCAGCTGAGGGTTGGCACCAGGACGTAAAGGTGCCCTTCCTGTTCCTCTGTTACTTGTGACAGCCACTGGTTTTCCTATGAAGAAATGAATAAAATTATGTTTAAATCTTGGTACAGGAATGTTAACAACACTGATACATAGAAGAAAAATTTTCAATTTTTGAATGATATTTTTTTCTCTAGCTTTTTTCAGTCATTAATGTATAAAGCAACTAATACCTTTAAGGATTATTAATGACAAAGTCTAAGTCATGTAAATTTCCCAGCACCCCCAAAAAAGCAAACTATTTAAGACAATTTTGATATATTTAAGTCAAATGAAATGCAATATTATGACTTAGCTTTCCATGGTTTTTGTTTGGTTTCCTACAGTAGAAAATAGGCAAGTCAGATCCTAGATTCAGATTGGTGGGGTGAGGAAGAGACAGAAAAATGAACTATATCTAGATTTTTTTTGTATTTCTCATATCAATAAAATAGGATTAACATCTCAACTAATATTTTAATTTTACAACCAGAGTAACAAATTAAATATACATGCAGAAGAATCACAATCTGATCTACTACTCAGTTTTTGGTTTAGTTATAAAACCTTTCATGTATCCTCTCCTTGTGTGTGTGTTAAGTTACAAGATAACTACAACTTAAAGAAATGGCATCGATAATTCATATACATTTTAACTGAATGCATTTATTGTGAGGACAATAAACACAAAACAGTAAAACTCCAATATACCAAGAAGTAACTCACAGGCTAAGATTAATTCTTTAACATTCTAAACACTCCTTTCAGAGCTGAAGCAGCAACTACTCATGACAAAATTAAAGCCCTGGGATTAACCCAGCAGTTCTGTGCCTTCCTAAGGAAACAGCTGACTCTAAGAAGAAAATGCTAATAGTTAAATTTTCCAGACACACAGAAATACTGAAAATTCCAGAATATACGTTTTAAAAGACACTGAGTAGCTCACGAGTATCTACAATAGCTCACGTATCTGAAATTCCAATGAAACAAAGACTGCACAGATGACAACATCTCTTGGCAATATTCAGTAATACAAAATTATGCTAAAACCAAAAAGTTGGAATGTTCACAACCATCAGGGCAATTTAATCAATTATTTATTCAAGAGAAAGCACAGTGACCCAAGTCACATATAGTATCATAAAATTTCCACTTATTCACAAATAGTAAATCTAGATAAAAATACAGAAAATACCCAGTGCAGGTCCCTGCCTACATTCATCTTGGACCACAGATCCTTCAGTGGCACAGGATGACTCCTCCCCAATGACATGTTCTCTACAGGGAGAGAAAACTTTTCTCATCTTGCTACATCTTTCTTGATAAATGCAATCAAGAAAATCTGGAAGCAGGACCTGATTCTACCAAGGAAAATTAGAATAAATATTCCTTAAAGAAGTATCTCTTAGACTATATAACAATATATCAACTTTCTTAAAACTTAAACAAGAATACAGACCTTTGAGATCTGGTCTATTTCGTATACCCACTGATACAAAGAAGCAATCCATATCAACATGCATTATACAGCTCTGATGTCTGGGTGAACTCAATACTGACATATTTCCTAGAAGGAAAAAGAGAATGTTCAAACCCAAAATTAATTTTTAAAATTAAAAAAATCAGGTTCTGTTCATTTAAAAATAACATTTTCAAATGCTTACAAGTAGAATGAAGTCTTAAAATATATAGAATTTATTATTTCTATCACCTCAAAGGAAGTCAAATTTCAGTTTCTTTGGCATTAAAAGTAGTTCAGAGATAAATTTAGTTTCCAAACATAATGTAAAGTCAATTATTAAGAGGCCAAGTTTTCCTAGACTATATTCTAATAATTGCCTCTAATTAAGTTTGTCTAAATTCTTCTCTTAAAATTATCTGTGTGAATATTTTATAGAACTGTATAAAGGTGTTTTCATTTATTTAGTTACATGGAGCTACCAATAACTTTATATGATCACCATTGCACGCAGTCTACTAACATTCCTTGACAAAGTAACAATAAAAAATGCTAATTATTGAATGTTTGGTAGGTATTAAGCAGTTTGTAATAAATGAGCTGCTTACCTGTATTAATTTATTTAAATTGTTACCACACTATGAGATAGGTAATCTTATTTTCCCCATTATACAGATTCATATTTTGCCTAAGTCATAGAGCCAGTAAAAGGCTGACCTAGTATTCAATCCCACGCAGTCTGACTTCAGAGCCCTCAAGCCATCACACTGTTGCTTTAAATAGATACTTTAAAAAGTCTATAATAAAAAAAACTGTGTATATGTATTTATGTATGTGTGTACACACACACACACACATATACATATATAATGACATTTTTCTTCTTAAACCATTAAATACTATTAAAATTAGCTCTGCAGCATATATACCACACTTTGGAGGTTTAAGGTGAGTGTTCCCTCCTAAGGACTCTAATCACTCTAAGCTGCAGATTAATTCCTTAGGGCTATTTTAACTCAAATCCAGCTACAACCAGAGCTCTCTTCTATGGAAGTCTCATCCTAAGCCTTTTTCCCTGGTCTTCCAAGTCACCCAAGTCTGGGTAATAAAAACTCTTGAGCTTGTAAAAAGTTCTGTTCTTGTAAAGGAGTTTTCCTATTTAAGAATACTAGTACATTGACCCTTGAACAACTTGGGTTTTAACTGTGCAGATCCTTATACATGGATTTTTCTTCAGTAAATATATTGTAAAAGTTCTTGAAAATTTGTGACAATCTGCAAATCATTTTCTCTTCTTTAGCTTACTTTACTGCAAGAATACAGTCTAAAATACATAAAAAAATGTGTTAGTCAACAGTAGGCTATGGGGAGTCAAAGTTACATACAGATTTTCAACTGTGCGGGGGAGCCAACTCTGTTAGGGGCTCAACACCCCTAACTCCCATGTTGTTCAAGGGTCAACTCTACTAAGGGTTGGTTTTCACAACAGGCTTCCAAAAACCAACATTTACTCCCCAAAAGGTTCATACTACTCTACTCACTGACCTGGGATGGTGAGAGCATTTACCTCGTTCTCACTACATCCAAGGCACTAGTCTTTGCTCACACCATCTTCCTTCAGCTCACAGCCCCATGAAGTGAGCATCATGAACTGTCTGCCACTTAGCTGCTGAGAGGAAACTGAGATCTGAGAGTGGAACTAATTTGCCCATGGTCCTGGACCCTAAGAGTGGCAGAGCCAGGATTTGGACTCAGACCATGTCACTTAACTCCAAAGCCATGTACTTCCTTGCTACCCTATTCTCCATATAACCTCAAGAAATTATTTGTAAGTCTGTACAGTTATAATGCTGCTGTATAAAAGTATTCTATACATGTAACATAAACAACCTAAAATAACAGCTTTAAACCATCAAGTAGTTCAGAAAGCATATATAAAATACCTACTGAATGCTTTCATACAATATAAAAATTTATCATTTTATTCCCATTTGTGGAACTAATTTATAATAGTTCTTTAAAAGCTTTCAAAATTATATGACCTTTAGGTTACAAGGCCAAGGCATGATGTAAGGATAATCTAATACCTACAACATTATTCTGAAATATTTCATAAATAACAAAAAGCATTTAGAAATACATCAAGCACAGCAAAATATTACAGAAAAACCCACACGGAGGGACTGTCATTTTCTAGAACAGAACCATGAGTTTCTCTCTGTACCTCAGTTTCTGCAGCTATAAATTAAAGGGCAATATTAGATAATCTCTGAGATCATGCTCCCTTAAAAAAAGAAAATTATATATAATCTATAAAAAGCAACTAAAACTTCAACCAAATACTAATCTATGATAGGCAGAGAAATACAGCCTGTTGTTGGTTTTGTTTGTTTTTGATGCTAAGTATCAAAAAACAAAATACAATTTCATTTTTATGTAAAAATACTTAATCTAAGTTTACCACCATAATTACAACAGCTATTATATCAAAGTTATTTCATTATTTTGAAAATCATTATGATGCAAGCTTGTAGGAATTGAGTTACTTTTACAAAACCAATTCATTCTTACAGGAGCTTAAGCACTGAATACAGTATGTTATATTTTACACAGTTCAAAACTTCACCAACTGGTAAGATCTACATGAAGGATGATCAGAATACCATAGTTGTTACTGTTTAAAATTACCTAAAGAACTTCTTAGCCACATTTAAACCTAGTTTTGTAAAAAATACTCTAATAAATATGAAAGTTTTCTATGTTATATTTCTGTAACTTACATAACTTGATATTCCTGAAGACTTTTACAAGAGGTTAGCATAGATCAGAAAAGCAATGAGAGTTTAAGAACAAAATGATCAAGCATGTTTGTTTTTTAAATAAACAATTTTAGTAAGTATCTACCTGTGTCAGTTACAACAAGTGAGGACCTGCCTGTTTTCATTTTTTTTAACTTTTCTCTTCCTGGAAAGATACCACTACTTTGTCTTTGTAGGGTATTGACAAACTCTGTCAATTCACACTTCCACGTTGATATGTGATGCAGTCTTGAACGGGAAAAGAAGTCTGAGATAAAATTGCAGTCTGAGGGTCTGGAGGGCATTGAAGGTGCTGCCTTGCTAAGAGTAGGTCCTGAAGAAGTGCTTTTTGTGCTTGAAGGCCCCTGAACAGTGGAGTGGTGAGCGCCATTTATTCTAGTGTGACTGTGCAAAGATGATAAGGGGAAGGAATTAGTTCTGTGTGGACTCCGCAAAGCATCTGTGCTTCTAGGGCTCTGCTGCAGCTGCTGCATGAGGCAGTCTCTGAAGTCCGTGCTGTTCTCAGCCTTCTCCTCTTGGATAGAGTCTGGAGAAAGCCTGCTGGCAACACTGTTGCCCATGGGCACCAAGCAATCCTGGGTCTTTAAGGCACCATTAGAGCTATGAGTGTGTCCATTAAAAATGGCAGAGCTGTCTCTGTGATGGGGAATTCCATTTTGTTTCCTTCCTGGAAAGAGCTGTTCAAGCTCCACAAAACTAAAACCATTATTTGCATCTTCTTCATTCCAACTATTTGTTCCATTGACTCTGACTTCATTTTCTGCCTCAATCTTCTTAATTATGTGATTTCTAAAGCAGGGAAAAAAAGGATTTAAGTTGATAATGTCTGTGACTTCAGGACTAAAATAATTTTTCATTTAAACTTTGTCTTAGTGACACTTCAATATCCCTCTGATCAAAACTGAAAAAGTAAGCCATAAATTTTATATTTTGTCTTCCAATAAAAGACAGTTCTTTCCTAAATCAGGGTAGTATGGTAACTGGGAAAATTCTAGAACATTAACAGCCTTTTAGTTTCTTTTTTAAAACTTCAGACACTCCCAATGAAGAAATACAACAGAATCACCTTCACGTTGAAGAAAACTCAGAAAAACTATTTCCAATTACTTTTCCCACTAAAAATTGACTGCAATCTGTGAGCTCTAACTACCCAGTTTGTAACACAGTGCCTGGCATTTACTATGTAGTCAATAAATGAGGAGTTAATATGAGTAATTCCCATAAAAATGGCTAAGAAACCTTACTTGAATTCTTATTCCTAGCTTTAATTTTAGTTTTATGTAAGGCACTATTCAACACATTTAATCCAACACTGCTACAATCCTGAGGTCAGTTAGTTTCACTAAGGGAACACTGACAGCCTATATTTATTAAACCATCAGTGGGACCAACTGTTGTACACAAGTAGATAAAAAGAACCAGGTCAATTTGTATGCATAATTCAGTAAAATTTATACCTGGAAAAATGAGGATGCTTGCCCTAGTATCAAGGGAAATGGCATTTCTTTTCTAAGAAAAGCATATTTAGATGTCAGGGTAGCCCAAGGCAAACTGGACCAAGTTTTCTGATGACAGGTTTATAAATGCAGGACCTATGACAAATGTTATGCTAAATTCACATCCTGGCTCCTTTAGACATTTGCTTGGTAATGCTCTGTTAATAAAGACAAAATCTATTTCCATTCACAAGAATCATCTAAGTAACAAAAACCAGAATTAGAGAGCAGTAATTCATTATACTTAGAAACATCCATGGCATTAATTCGATTATAGTTCAAGCTTCAGATGAGGGTGCCACACATAGTACCAAGGCATTGGTGAGATGACCAGTGTCACCAGATTTAATTTAAAATCCCTCATCACAATGCCAGCAACGGTATCTTATTAGTAATAACAATCTGAATATATAGTAAAGGTACACTTGAGTCAGATGCAAAACATCACCACCCATTTCTGGGTTCACTCTGGCTGACAATCTCATGGGATGACAGCCTACTCTGAGTAGGTCCAATCCTCAGATGACACCAGTGAAAAGGAAAAAGAAGACAAACTGGAAATGATTAAAAGGAAAGAAAGAAAACCTAATTTGTTACATGTAAGAGAAAACCTGGCCCTAGAGATAAAGACAAAGCAAGAGAGCAAAAAGTCACAAAAAGATTTTCCAAGAAATATATAAAATTTATTGAAGATAACCAAAATATAAAGATCATAGGAAGCAACAAAAGTCAGAAAAGTCTTACATCTAGTTTTCTGTGTTACAAATATTAAGATTTTTACATGTATACTAGCAACATATGTAACAAATGCATATATTGTCAAGGCAACACATTGCTAATATACATTCTTTCTATACTATATATTTTTAGAATACAAAACAGGTATTTACAAAGTAGCTATCCTGGAAATACACACTGGTAGATATACATTTATTACACAAAATAGTAAATGTAGTAAGTAAAATCTACTAGGTAAATTCATCTTAAAATTGACTCACAGAAGAATTTCAAAAAACACATACTTTCTACTTTTATTAGGGTGGATAAAAAAATACGAAGTTATGTGTTTGGAAAGGTTTTCTGATATTACTTGTACCCCTTGGCTGTACTAAAAAAATTTAAAGTTTGAGGTAAAAAGTATTAAACAAGATGGCGGAATGGTGTGAGGCAGAAACATCCTCCCAAAACCACACATAACATGAAAATATACCAAATACAACTAATCCTGAAAGAGCAACAGGAAAGAAGACTACAACAAACTACCTATATCTGGGGATAAGAGAAGACCTCATGAAAAAGGGTAAAGTATCAGAGCTGTGATCCAGCAGGACCCGAGCCCTCCCCCTACCCCAGCTCACAGGCGGGAAGAAGAGAAATGGAGCAGGGAGGGAGTAGAAGCCCAGGACTGCTAAATACCACCCCAGGAGATCTAATCCGGGAGCACGAACCCACATGGCCTGGTGCTCTGGAGATTAGAGAGGTTGGAAAGCAAAGACAGGCAGAATACTCAGAGATAGAGATTGCAGCCGCTTTTGGAAACAGGTACCCACAACCAGCTGCTCTGGGACAAAAGAAAGGTAGGCACTTTGAAAGAATTCCCAAAAGTAAGAGGGGGAGCTAAAGGGGCAAGGATTGCACAAAGCTTGCTGCTCAAGAGAAAGGACAGGTGAACAAAATTGTCTCAGTGCAGAGTCCAGCAGGTTGGGAATTTTCAGAACTTCACACAACTCACCCCATGGCTGGCAACACAGTGCTGAGGCCCACTACTGTGATAGGCAGACTGCCGCTCCTTCCTCTTAGCCAGCATCAATCCACAAACCTGCTGCCCCAGCCATCATGATAGGCCAGCCAGAGGAAGGCCCCACCTACACCAGCTACAAAGGCATAACGTAGAGGATCTTCCCTGCCTGCTTGGCGCAATGGCCTTGGCAGTAGAGGCAGGCACTGAAGCCAGAAAGCAAGAAAGAGCTCTTTCCTCCCAGCAGGCACCGGTGCCTCTCACCTGTGACCCTATCACTGCTCCATGTGCTGGGCACCTCCAGAGAGTAGAGTTTCTGGGCACTGAGGGTGCCGCCTACACAAAGTTGTTATTTCAAGAAAATCATTAGAAATATGAAATGGCAGAAGATTCTTGTACAAACCAAATTCCCTCAAACACCAGAATGAGGGCTAAGTGAGACTGAAATCACCAATCCTCTTGATAAAGACTTCAAAATAAAAATCAGAAACATGCTCATGGAGCTACAGAAAGATAGTCAAGACCTCAGGAAGGAATTCAAGAAACAGATAGAAACTTTGAAAAATACAGTATCTGAAATGAAACATACAATGAAGGGGTTTAAAAGCAGATTAGATGAGGGACAAGGTAGAAGAGACAGGAAATGAAACATGAATTAGAAAACAGGAATACAAAGCAGCAAAGGCACAGAGAGAAAAAAGCATCTCTAAGAATGAAAGAATAATAAGGGAACTGTGCAACCAATCCAAACAGAACAATATTCGCATTACAGGGGTACCAGAAGAAGAAGAAGAGAGAAAAAGGGATAGAAAGTATCTTTGAGGAAATAATTGCTGAAACTTCCCCAATCTGGGGAAGGAAATAGTCTCTCAGGCCATGGAAGTCCACAGATCTCCCAATACAAAAGACCCAAGGATGACAACACCAAGACATATAATAATTAAAATGGCAAAGATCAAGGACAAAGACAGAATATTAAAAGCAGCCAGAGAGAGAAAAAAGGTCACCTACAAAGGAAAACCCATCAGGCTATCATCAGATTTCTCAGCAGAAATCTTACAGGCCAGAAGGGAGTGGCATGATATATTCAATGCAATGAAACAGAAGGGACTCGAACCAAGAATACTCTACCCAGGAAGATTATCATTTTAAATTTGAAGCAGGAATTAAACAATTTCCAGATAAGCAAAAGTTGAGGGAATTCACCTCCCACAAACCGTCTCTTCAGTGTATTCTGGAGGGACTATTCCAGATGGAAGTGCTCCTAAGGCTAAATAGCAGTCACCAGAGAAAATAAAACCACAAGAAAGGAAGTAAACCAATTAATTACTAAGCAAATGCAAAATTAAATCAACTACCCACAAAGTCAGTCAAGGGATATACAGAAAGTACAGCATATGACACCTAATGTATAAAGAGTGGAGGAGAAAGAAAAAGAAGGGAGGAAAAAACAAATCTTTAGATTGTGTTTGAAATAGTGTACTAAACAAGTTAAGTTAGATGGTTAGATACAAAAGAAGCTGCCCTTGAACCTCTGGTAATCATAAATCGAAAGTCTGGAATGGCAATAAGTACATATCTATCGATAATTGCCCTAAACGTAAACAGACTGAATCCACCAATCAAAAGACACAGAGTCACTGAATGAATAAAAAACAAGACCCATCTATATGCTGCCTCCAAGAGACTCACTTCAAACCCAAAGACATACACAGACTAAAAGTGCAGGGGTGGAAAAAGATATTTCCTACAACTAATAAGGAAAAAAAAGCAAGGGCTGCAGTACTTGTATCAGACAAAACAGACTTCAAAACAAAGAAAGTAATGCAGACAAAGGACATTACATAATGATAAAGGGGTCAGTCTAACAAGAGGATATAACCATTATAAATATCTATGCATCCAAACATAAGAACACCTAAATGTGTGAAACAAATACTAACAGAACTAAAGGGGGAAACAGAATTCAATGGATTCACTTTAGGAGACTTCAACACACCACTCACTCTGAAGGACACCACTCACTCTGAACTAGACAGAAAAATAAGTAAGGAGACAAAGGCACTGAACAACACACTGGAACAGATGTACCTAAAAGACATCTACAGAACACTCCACCCAAAAGCAGCAGGATACACATTCTTTTCAAGCGTACATGGAACGATTACAAGAATAGATCACATACTAGGCCACAAAAAGAGCCTCAGAAAATTCAGAAGAATTGAAATTGTAACAACCAGCTTCTCATACCACAAAAGAACTAGAAATTGTGCAAAGAAAACAAAAAAGCCCACAAACACATGGAGGCTTAACAACATGTCCCTAAATAATCAATGGGTCAATGATCAAATAAAAACGGAGATGAAGCAATATATGAAGACAACTGAGAAGGGATTTCTTCCTGAGAAAAAAGAATAAAGCTGGGGGATTACCCTCCCTGACTTCAAGCTCTATTACAAAACCACAGTAATCAAAACAATTTGGTACTGGCAAAAGAACAGACCCATAGGTCAATGGAAGAGAACAGAGAGCCCATATATAAACCCAAACATACATGGCCATTTAATACATGATAAGGGAGTCATGGATATACAATGGGGAAATGACAGCCTATTCAACAACTGGTGTTGGCAAAACTGGATTATTGTCTAACTCTATACACAAAAGTAGACTTGAAATGGATCAAAGACCTAAATGTAAGACATGAAACCATAAAACTCTTAGAAGAAAACATAGGCAAAAATCTCTTGAATATAAACATAAGCACTTTTTTCCTGAACACATCTCCTCAGGCAAGGGAAACAAAAGCAAAAATGAACAAATGGAACTACATCAAACTAAAAAGCTTCTGTACAGCAAAGGACACCATCAGTAGAACAAAAAGGCATCCTACAGTATGGGAGAATATATTTGTAGATGACATATTCGACAAGGGGTTAACATCCAAAATATAAAAAGAACTCACATGCCTCAACACCCAAAAAGCAAATAACTCGATTAAAAAATGGGTTGACGATATGAACAGACACTTCTCCAAAGAGAAAATACAGATAGCCAACAGGCACATGAAAAGATGCTACACATTGTTAACACATGAAAAGATGCTACACATCGTTAACTATCAGGGAAATGCAAATTAAAACCACAATAAGATATCACTACACACCAGTTAGGATGGCCAACACAGAAAAGACTAGGAGCAACAAATACTGGCGAGGATGCAGAGAAAGAGGAACCCTCCTACACTGCTGGTGGGAATGTGAATTAGTTCAATCATTGTGGAAAGCAGTATGGAGGTTCCTCAAAAAACTAGAAATAGAAGTACCATTTGACCGGGAATTCCACTCCTAGGAATTTGCCCAAAAACAAGATCCCTGATTCAAAAAGACATATGTACCCCTATGCTTATCACAGCACTATTTGCAATAGCCAACATATGGAAACAACCAAAGTATCCATCAGTAGATGAATAAAGAGGAGGTGGTATATATACACAATGGAACATTATTCACCCAGTAGAAGAAAGCAAATCCTACCATTTGCAACAATATGGATGGAGCTCTAGGGTATTATGCTCAGTCAAATAAGCCAGGTGGAGGAAGACAAGTGCCACATGATTTCAGTCATCTGTGGAATGTAACAACGAAACAAAACTGAAGGAACAAAACAGCAGCAGACTCACAAATTCTAAGAGTGGATTAGCAGTTCCCAAAAGGAAAGGGGTGAGGGTGGGAGAAGTCGACTAAGGACATTATGATTAGCACACATAATGTAGGGGGATCTCAGAGGAGGCAGTATAGCATGGAGAAGACAAGTATTGACTCTATAGCATCTTACTATGCTGATGGACAGTGACTGCAATGCGCTGGGGTGGGGGACTTGATAATATCGATCAATGTTAATAACCATAATGTTGTTCATGTGAAACCTTCATAAGATTATATATCAATGATACCTTAATTTAAAAAATTTTTTAGGTAAAGTAAAAAACATTTGAATATGCTTGTAAGTGAATACAAGTTAAAGTACGAATGACAACAACAAAAACTACAGAAGGTAGTGATATCAGATCTTCCCAGGTTAATTAGACTCCTGGTCTTTTGGAAAAAATATATCCAACTCCCAAAGCAAGCAATTTAATAAATAAGGCGAAGGCTAATGATAATGAGCTACCTGATATACAAGTTAAGACAACACACCATTAATTGTGAAACCAATTTTTCCAGGATTATTGCAATTAAAGCTTAAGTCAATATGTAATTTTTAACATCAGCCACAAGAAATCAAGTTGAGTTACCTCTAACTCTGTTAACACTGAGGGTCATCAACTAAATTTTCATTGATACAAAGTATTTATAACTTATTCAGAATTATTATGGAATTTTTCCAAAATAACCTAAAAATGTCAACCTTTTTATTCTTTCTATATATAGGTATACACAACAAAAGTATATCTGGAGTTTCAGTTCAGTTTTTGAGAAAGCAACATTCTATAGCAAATTACTTGAGTGGAACTAATTTTCGAAAAATCCATGGGAAATTTTATTGCTAAGAATTTAAGATCCATAAATTAAACATGGGATTCTAAAAGGACTGGACAAGCTTGCTTATGAAACAGTCATGATAAAAATAATTTTTTAGGTAAGACACCCACACAGATATTTCAACATGTTTAATACATATGAATGGCCAGGTTTTAGATTCGTTTCTAACTTCAACACAGCAGATGCTGTAAAAACTATAAAAACTACAAAAACCTCTGCTAAAAATAGCTTTGTACTATTCCCAATCCAGACAAACTTACACCCTGTTGTTGAGCTGTTTGGCTATATTGCTTGGACCAGGCATGGGATCCTCAGGTTTGCATACAGGATTAAAATTGAGACCTTTCTGCACACTGGACTGCTTGGTGTACAGCTGATATGGAATGTAGGAAAGGAGACGTCCAGCTTTGATGCTGAAACAAAAACAGAAACACCAGTTTTAAGAGTTCAATACTTGGGGGCACAAAGCTTCATGAAAAACCAATGTTCTTATAATGATGGGAGTATTTCCCCAACGAGAAGCTGTCTGTTTTCCTACTTCATTCTTTCTCCCTGTTTTAGTGGCCCTAATACAATATAATTGTACTTAAACTCTTAAGAATAAGACATCTTGCCCATGAAAAGACGGTTATCTGAAATTAAAAATTAACAGTCAACACTCTTACATGAGAAAAAATAACAGAGTAGGATAAGAAAAACTGCAAGCACAGAGTTATAGTAGTCAGTGTTTTAATCATCATGATGTTAGCATTTAGAACTCTTCCCAATATACAGTTCACATAAACTCATCAAGACTCTCTCAAATCCCACCTCACATATTAAGTTTTTTTAAATTAAATACAGTGGATGAGGATTCCCAATTTCCACAATTAATGTCAGGTCTATTAAATGTGAAAAACTGTAAAATGAAAAAATAGGACAACATTAAAACTTTAACTTTAATAGTAACAAATAATTTATACAATTTTTATGTGTGTAAGAGTGACGGAGACAGGCTACCTGAGGGTACGAATTCCAAGAGGGCAGAAACTATCTGAACTCCTCTTCCAGAAGTTCACTACATGTCAAACATCACCCGCAAAACCCAGGGGGGAACACCAGCACTTTACTAGGTGGTTCTGGCACACTGACACTCTCAAGCATTTATTTCCTTCTGTACTTCAGAACTAAAACAAATAGACTAAGCTGTCTTAAGCTGACTTTTGCTTTCTAATTTATACATGGTTATTTTATCTTTAAAAATACTGTTTTCAATTCAAATTTAAAAATAGCCAACCAATATGCTAATATCCACATTTTGGCTTTAAACCTAAAATACACACTAAGTCAGTCATCCTTTAACTATTTAGGATTTATAAATTAATTAATAAAATGATAAATTTAATAAAATTAGTAAATACAGACTAAAAATACTTTTCTTATTGTCTCATAAACCCAAGAGTTTTGACAGCTTTATTTTCTCAAAGGGCACTCCACAAAACTTAAAAAAATAACCATGTGAGAAATGACTGGCTGGCTTACAAAATGATTTAAAATGCTATCAACAATTGTGAATACAGGAAAACATACTGATGATATATCCTAAAAATGTAACTATATAATAAAAAAGGACAGACTATGTCCTTTGTGTAATTATGTCAATATATATTTAGTAACTCTGCCCAGAGTACGTTAAACTATATCCAAATGCTAAAACCACTAAAGTATGATGAGAAAGGAACAACACACTAGTGACATTTAACCTTACATAAACAGTTAGCATCAGGTTGAAAATTTTATCAACATTACAGAAAACATTATTCACCTATCAGAATCAAAATCCCAACTTACTCTTTATCACACTAACTTTTCTTCCTTTCCCAGCTGGTCTCAACTGCCTGTGGACTATGTTCTTCCTAGAGTGCTACCATCTTAGCTGCTCCTCCACCCACAGAGGTACTTAATACCTAAAGGAGAAGCCTAACGTTAGCCTTCTACCCCTTTCATTTTATGTAACAATAACTATGGGATAAGCAGAGATTGAAATTATGCCCAGTGTGCCCGCTGCACAACTGAAACTAAGACCAGTGCAACCAACAAAGAAAATGCCCTATGATCATGCTCACTGCCCAACAGAATTCCAGGGTGAGGAGGCTTTAGGGTCAACAATGATCACACACAAGGGTAGCAGATCTTGTCACAACTCCTAACAAGAGCCATGTCACCCAGCAGAATTTTTATGCTAATATAAATAACTAAGTCCATGGGGAATGATATGAGAGACCCAATTTAAAATACTGCAGGTCTCAAAATCAAATATCCTCAGTGATACCAACTAAAGGGAATTAAAGCCCAATGCACCACAGTAATGTTAGACAAGGAATTTTTTAAATTTGAAGCCCAAACCATTATATATCACTTGTACATTCCTAATTGTCCCTGGTTATTCATTTACCTATTTATATATGGACAGAAACATTATCTGAAGTGTATTTTAAAAAAGATCTTCTTTCAAAAATTCTCTCAGGGATTAATTTTCATTTCTAATTTTATAGCTTATGCTAAGGGCAAAGACTATATCTACATTTTTCTACCATTCTTCTTACAAAAAAAAAGAGCCAAGTAACAAAATCCATTATTTCAAAACCAAAAGAAGTTTCACTTTACCAGAAGATAGTTTATTTAAATATCGTGAGCTTTTCCATATATACTGAAAACATATTCTGATACATATATGGAAGAGTTTGCATTCTATACAATGGGTCAAACACATATTCACTGCAAATTAAATATTCATCTCTTTTGGGGAGTCTTAATTCTTGCTTTGTCCTATAGCCCCAAGTTTTCTCTTAGATAAAACTTCATAAAATTTTGTATCTAACAAGTCTCTAAATCATTTCCTATTTCTATCAGCAGACAATGAATTTATAGCGACAGCTATAACCAGACTCTGGGAAATTTTACAAAAATTAAGATACAACTAAATTGCTCCATTAATTTCTATTTCAAACTTTTTATTACAGCTTGCAGCAACATCACTGTCTTTGTATGAAACAATTCTGCACACCAAATGTTTTTATGGTTCTAGTCAATGTCCTGATCATACTTAGAAAAATAACATCTAACACTTGCATACATATCTGGCCATCCATTGAGGCACCTATTTTCTTCCCTATTTAAAAGTTGACTTAAGGTAAGAAAGGATATAATTATGTGCTAAGAAAGAAATGAGCTGTTTTTTTGCCTTTTATTCAATTATTAAGCAAAAATCATCCTGATGCATTCAAAACTAAAATTTCATTTGTCTTACCTCCATTATCTAAACTTTCCAACCACCCATCAAGACACTAGGAGCCCAGAAAAGGAAATTAACAAGCATAGAAATATGTACAGGACTCCTTGCTTTTCCTGTACAGGATCCAGACTGTTATTCACTAGATACCACAAGTTTAAGCTATTCATTCTTTAGCTCCTGAAGACCAAGAAATATATTTTCTAATAAAACACTGCATATAAATCACTGGGAGGTAGTCTGAAATGTGTGTGTTGGTTAGTTAGCCAATAGTTTTAGAAGAACTCTGTAATGCTGTGAGAGAAAAACATAAATAACATCAAGACTAATTTTTAAAAAAGCCAAATCTACATCAGAAACTATGAGATCTTTAGAGCATCATGAGTGTCTGACAAACAAGTAACATACGCTCTGGGAGCTGAGAGAAAGGACAGACCCTGACTGGGAATCAGGTGCTCCCAGGAGAAGACCCCATTGAGCTGGGAGAAACAGGAATGGTAAATCACCACCACCTCTCAACCTGCAGCAGACCCAGGTGATCACTTAACAAGGGGAGGCAGGTTCCCATGCCACAAAGGCTTGACAAAATGAAAACAACAAAACAAATCTGGCTGTAGTAACTCAAGACAAGATTTTAAACTACTCTCTGCATCTCCTCAGACTCAGTGAGGATTCTCATCAACTATTCTACACTGTAAATCTCAAAGTAATCCAAAGCCTACAATTGCCAATGGCAATAAGTACATACTTATCGATAATCACCCTAAATGTAAATAGTCTGAATGCAGCAATTGAAAGACACAGAGTCACTGAATGGATAAAAAAACAAGACCTGTCATATATGCTGCCAACAAGAGACTCACTTCAAACCCAAAGACATACACAGACTGAAAGTAATGGAATGGAAAAAGATATTTCATGCAACTAATAGGGAGAAAAAAGCAGGAGCTGCAGTACTTGTATCAGACAAAATAGACTTCAAAACAAAGAAAGTAGTAAGAGACAAAGGACATGACATAATGATAAAGGGGTCAGTCCAACAAGAGGACATAACTGTTATAAATATCTATGCACCCAACACAGGATCACCTACATATGTGAAACAAATACTACCAGAATTAAAGGGGGAAATAGAATGTAATACATTAATTCTAGAAGACTTCAACACACCACTCACTCCAAATGACAGATCAACCAGACAGAAAATAACTAAGGAGGCAGAGGCACTAAACAATGTATTAGAACAGATGGACCTAATGGACATCTAAAGAACACTCCATCCAAAAGTAACAGGATACACATTCTTTTCAAGTGCACATGGAACATTTTCAAGAATAGATCATACACTAGGCCACAAAAAGAGACTCAGTAAATTCAAAAAGACTGAAATTATACCAACCAGCTACTCAGACCACAAAGGTATGAAACTAGAGATAAATTACACAAAGAAAACAAAAAAGCCCACAAACACATGCAGGATTAATAACATGATCCTAAATAATCAATGCATCAATGACCAAATAAAAAGAGATCAAGCAATATATGGAGACAAATGACAGCAATGATTAAACACTGCAAAAGTGGGATGCAGCGAAGGCCATGCTAAGAGGGAAGTATATTGCAATACAGGCCTACCACAGGAAAGAAGAACAATCCCATATGAACACTCCAAACTCACCATTAACAAAACTAGAAAAAGAAGAACAAATGAGGCCCAAAGTCAGCAGAAGAAGGGACATAATAAAGATTAGAGTAGAAATAAATAAAATTAAGAAGAATATAACAATAGAAAGAATCAATGAATGCAGGAGCTGGTACTTTAAGAAAAGTAACAAAATAAGATAAACCCCTACCCAGACTTATCAAGAAAAAAAGAGAGTCTACACACAGAAACAGAATCAGAAATGAGAAAGGAAAAATCACTACAGACACCAAATAAATTTTAAAAAATTGTGAGAGAACACTATGAAAAATTATATGCTAACAAACTGGATAACCTAGAAGAAATGGACAACTTGCTAGGAAAATAAAACCTTCCAAGGCCGATACAGGAAGAAACAGAAAATCTGAACAGACCAATTATCAGCAACAACATTGAATTGGTAATTAAAAAACTACCTAAGAACAAAACTGCTGGAACAG